TGAGATATTTTGTAGTCCATACAAATAAGATGAGTTTTAATTTCTGTGAAAAATGGAATTAGTAATTTGACAGAATTACATTAAATCTGTTGATTGCTTTGGGTAGTATGGTCATTTCAACAATATAAATTATTACAATCTGTGAACATGAGATACCTTTTCATTTTTTATGCTTTCTTCAATTTTATTAATTAATTAATTTATTTGGGTAAAAAAATGTCACTCTGTTACCCAGGCAAGTGCAGTGGTATGATCATGGCTCACTAAAGCCTTAATATTTTGGGCTCAGGTGATCCTTCTGCCTCAGTCCCCTAAGTCGATGGGACTACAGTCCAGTGCCACCATGTCCAGCTAAATTTATTTATTTTTTGTAGGCATAATGTTTTGTTATGTTGCCTTTGTTGGTCTCAACTCCAGTGTTCAAGCAATCCTACTGCCTTAGCTTTCCAAATTCTGGGATTACAGGTGTGAGCCACCGTACCTGGTCCTCAATTTATTTATTTATTTTTAATTTTAATTTCAATTTTTTGAGTTGGAGTCTCACCCTGTCACCCAGATTGGAGTGCAGTGGCCACTCCTGGCCACCGCAGCCTCGACCTGTGGGGCTCCAGCGATCCTTCCGCCTCAGTCATCCAAGTAGCTGGAATTAGAGGCGCGCACGACCATGCCCGGCTCATTTTTTGATTTATTGTAGAGATGAGGTCTCGCCAAGTTGCCCAGGCGGGTCTTCGAACCCGCAGGCTCAGGCAATTCACTCACCTCGGCCTCCCAAAGTGCGGGATTACAGGCTGAGCCACCGAACCGGCCTCAGATCTCTTAAGCAAAACGTCTTGCCCCTGCTCCCCCTTCAAATAGTGTGTCACTATCTGAGCCTACATTAAAAATAAGTGCTAAGTGAAATAAGCCAGACACAGACAAATACTAAATGATCTTCCTAATATGTGGAATCCAAAGCAGCCAAACTCGTAGAAGTGGAGAAGAGAGTGGTGGCCACCAGAGGCTGGGAGGAAGCAGGTGGGGGATGTTGGCCCAGGGTGCAACAGTTTGCAGATGAACATGTCTGAAGGCCTGATGTACAGCACGGGGACAGTTGGCAGCGATGCCGCACTGTGGACTTGAAGCTTGCTAAGCGAGCAGATTCTGTGTTATACACACACACACACACACACACACACACACACACACACACACACACACACACACACACAGTAACTCTGTGAGGAGATGGATGTGCTAATTAGCTTAATTGTGGTGATTATTTAAAAATGTAAACATACAGCAAATCATCAACTTGTAACACTTGAAATCAGCGGTTCCCAACCTTTTTGGCATCAGGAACCAGCTTCGTGGAAGGCGATTTCCATGGACAAGGTTGAGGGATCACCAGGCATTTGGTTGTCACAAGGAGCAGCAACCTGGATTCCTCCCAGGCATGGCTCATGACAAGGTTTGCCTCCTGTGAGAATCTAATGCCGCTCCTGATCTGAGAGGAGGCAGAGCTCCGCTTCCCAACACTGCTTACCTCCGGCTCTGCAGCCCAGTTCCTAACAGGCCACACACCGGCACTGGTCTGGGGCCCGGGTGTTGGGGACCCCTGCCTTAATAAAAACGGTGCCGTGTGATACAGATAACACATTCTGGAAATATATGGAAAAAATATATATATATTTATATATATATATATATATATATATATATATTTTTTTTTTTTTTTTTTAGTTGGAGTCTCACTCTGTCGCCCAGACTAGAGTGCAGTGGC